GGGAAAGAGCGTGAAAAGTCCTCTCCTTGAGGAGGAAGGAGCAGCAGAGACAATGTGTAATGAGCTGACCGCAGCCCTCATTCCCCATCCCCCTGCGCCACTTGGGAGGAAGAGGCAGAGAAAATTAGAAGTGAAGTTCGGAGTGGGAAGACAGGAGGGTTGGGGAAAGGTGTTTTAAGATTTAATTTTCATTTCTCGTTATCATACTCTGATTTGATTAAATAAATTAAATTAATTTCCCTGAGTCAAGTCTGTTTTGCCCGTGACAGTAATTGGGGAGTGATCTTTCCCTGTCCTCATCTCAACCCATGAGCCTTTCATTATGTTTTATCTCCCCCTGTCCAGCTGAGGAGGGGAGCAATAGAGCAGCTTTGGTGGGCACGTGGTGTCCAGACAGGGTGAATCCACCACACGTATGCAATAATCTGGCATGTCTGGGATTACCTTTTTTTGTTTGCTGTGTTTGCTCTGAGAGTTGGTGGTGATTATGTTAATCACACTCCTGATGATGGGTGGAATATTTTAAAACTCTATTTAATTACTGTTATCTCTGTCTTTTAACTCTTTGCACTTCTGAAGCAATGCTTTATTACGAGGTAAGAGTTTTGCTTTCTATCTTGTGTGTAAAATCACTGAAAGTACGTTTCTGGTTTGTTTGATTGCAGTTTCCATTGTAATGGGAATACCTACAGTGAAAAGAAAAGTCAAGTCTTACCTTACAGAAACTCTCCACTCCCTTATTGATAAGCTGTCCCCTGAAGAAAAGCTGGATTGTGTTATGGTTGTCTTTATAGGAGAGGTAATCACTTGAATATTTTTATACAATTTGTTACCTGCCTTTAATTACAAGTAGCACTCCTTTCAGGAAAAGATGAGGGTCTACTCTCTCTTTAAGACATGGACAAATGTCTGTCTTCTTCTATGAAAAGAAGAGAGTGTCATTCTTTTGTTTCTGAGAGAAATGATCCTGAAGAGCTCAGCTTTTTCTGTTTGTTGAGGGAAGAGTGGACCCAGATTTAGTGAACTAGTTATTTTGCAAATCTTCTGATGCTTATACGTAGTGACACAGATGTGCTAATTAACTTATTCCTTCAACATCAAAATAATGGCTCAGAGATTCTCCTTCTTCTCTTCATGCTGCTGCTTAGTCCCTGGTTGAACGAGTGTTGCAGTTTGAGATGTTAGGTACAGACTGTTACTGATTTTATTTTTTGAAGAGTGTATATATTATAAGTCCAGTCTTTTTCATGAATTAATTCAAACAGTGCTTATGTGGACTGTTTGGTCAGTTTGACTCTGCTTTAGTGGAAATCAAATTTAGGAAAATGATAGAATGCTTTCGGAAGTAATTCTGTTTGCTGCTGGGAATTGCATATACTTACTTTGATTGGTATGTTTTTCTCAGAAGTCTGACTTAGAAAGTGGGAAATTTATATATAATGTTTGACCTTCATCCATCTAACTATATAGTGCTCTATTGAATAAGTGTTTTAGGAGTCCCACAGATGAAAATTCAAATCCTCTGGTTATAACTGAAAGCAGTTTTAATCCTATGAGCCAGTGTCCCTTTGGGGATGAATCCGTGGGAAAATAGATAGGCATTTTAATATTTCTAGTTGTATTATCAGCACATTTTAAACCTTTCCTTGAAAGGTTTGTAAAGGTTTGTATACGTGTACCTGAGAACTGATTCTTTTGGTTTTCTAGTGTAAGTTGCTCTGTTTCCTTTTTCTTGACAGTCAGTCAAAAACTAGCCCTCTGGATAGACATTGCTTTTCTGCAGAAAATGCTCTTAAAATATCCATTGGTTGAGAATATCAAGAGAGTGGAATTAATTCTGAAGTACTTAAATACTGGATTTTTCTTCACTGTATTAGCTGGAGTAGCTTTATTGCTTTTTAAAGTAGCTTCCTTTCAAGGCTTAAAACTGAAGTTTTGCTTAAGATCTGAGCTGTGAAGACTGTTTTCTCTGGATTCTCTGTCTCCTACAAAACTTGAAGTGTGCCCAAATGCACAAGTTTCTTTGGTTGCCTTTGACAAGCCATATGGCCATCCCTGAGTTTTCCATAGCCACATAACTTCCTTTTGAGGTGGTCTGAAATTCAATTTGAGCTTGGGAATGATTCTACAGAAGTGACTGTGAAGGACTTGCACATTTTTACATGACATCTATTGCTTCTCTCCCTTCTACAGGGGGGTGCTGTGACTCTCTGTTTCTTATCTCTGTACCTATCTGGGAGCAGCACTACGTGCTTACTCACATTAACTGCTATGGGCACTGCAAGCCATGCATGTCTGGGAAAATTTGAAGAACTTAAGTTTAAATTCTTGTCCTGTTTATACACATTCCTTAGGTTTGCATTTCTTTTCCTTTACAGCATCCAATTTTATGTCTTCCCTGCTTTATTATTTCTTTGACCATGTTTTATATTTTAAGTTTGGTATCTTACAGTGTGTTTTGCAATTGCCACAGGGAACTCTTCCAATGATTAATATGATACAGTAAATACTTCATCCTGAACTATGCTGTTTTTTCTGAGTTATGCTGTACATTTCAGCTTCCTTCTGCAAGATGAAAAAGTGTAGGTTTATTAGACATTTTCTCTGGCTATTTGAAGGAAGGCCTACTCCCTTGGTGAACTTCTGTTTCCCCTTACATAAAAGGAAAGGCTTTAGCTTTTAAAACAGCTTTGTCTGTGATGTTTCCTAGCCTAATATGCTAGGAAACCTAAAAAAAAAAAATAATTAAAAAAATTAGGCTATTGCTGTCATTAACATAGGTGCAGTAATGAAGGTTTATTTAAAAATGCATTAGAACTTTGACCAAGTGTGCTTGTATTAAAAATGATGGCAAAAATTTCTGAAAAAGAAGTGTGGCCTCTGCTCAACATTGTGCAGTTTAAGTATAGCAAGAAATGGCCATAGTGTGAGGTTAGGTAGTTTTGCTAATAAGCTTAAAATTACTGTCTGTGCTTTATCTATAGCTTGTACAAACAAATAAAACCGCAAGACTTTACAAAAATGTTTTTACAAGAGAATTATATGAAAAATGGTATTTTAAAGGGATTTTAGTATTTTCTTGCTGACTGTGTTTGAGAAATCAGATTGACAGTGTTTAAGTAGCATTGCTGGAAGCCATAGACATGGACTTTAATCTTTTTGTGCTAAGCACCCTAAAAAATCTCTTTTAATACTGGTAATTTTTATAGCAGTTCAGTCTCACTCCTTTCATGTAAATTTGACTTTTTTACTGGAAAACAAGTTGAAAATTAAGGCTACTGGCCTTCTGCAAATGGCATGAACAGTGTAAACAGTAAATACAGATGCACTGTGGTTGCTAAACAGAGAGATCTGCATATTCATTTGCTGTATGGCTATTTCTCAGTAATGTAATTATACACAGTAAATTTCCATACTGGAAGTTCAAGGAATTCTAAAATGTCTCAGCTGATGTGATATCTAATCACCAATTTAAGTAATTACTAGAATTGCTTGACAGTAAACTGCAAAATTCTCCCAGTAACTGACATATGTCTCTGTTCTCCAACTTATTTTAAAATAACTTTATTGCAGAATATTTTGCAGGTATTCATTAGGATGACTAATAAATAGGTATGATTCATTATATCTCTATACTTAAAAATCTTTTTATTCCCCTTCGCTATGTAGCTAGTTTGTAGACTTATCAGTTGACTTGTGCAGGGCATTTGACACTGTCCCACATGACATCCTTGTCTCTAAAATGGAGAGACATGGATTTGACAGATGGACCACTTGGTGGATAAGGAACTGACCAGAAGGTCGCACTCCAGGAGTTGTGGTCAATGGCTCGATACCCACATGGACACCTGAGGACAAGCGATGTTCCTCAGGGGTCTGTTCTGGGTCCAGTGCTGTTCAACATCTTTGTCAGTGACATGGACAACGGCACTGAGTGCACTCTCAGCAAGTTTGCTGACGACACCAAGCTGTGTGGTGCTGTGGACTCACTTGAGGGAAGAGATGCCATCCAGAGGGACCTTGACAGGCTTGAGAAATGGGCCAGTGCAAACTGCTTGAGCTTCAGCAAGTCCAAGCACAAGGTCCTGCACCTGGGTCGGACCAATCCTAGGCACAAATATAAACAGAGTACGGAGTGGGTTGCGAGTACCCCTGAAGAGGACTTAGGGGCGTAGATAGAATCATAGAATCATAGAATGGCCTAGGCTGGAAGGGACCTTAGAGATCATTTTAATCCAGCCTCCCTGTCACCAGGGATGCCACCTCTACACTAGATCAGGCGACATATGGGGACCAAACGGGAATCGAACCCACGACCTTGGCATTGTTAGGGCCACGGTCAACTGACTGAGCTAACTGGCCCCCTAATTTACCCTCCTGGTATATTTATAGATTTATATGTAAATGTCACAATAATTGTGCTTTGCTAAAAAAGCCAAGCTCTTTTAGACTGATAATTATTCTAAGTATCCTTTGTTCCCATTCCTTTTCTTGGAATTTCTCTGGATATATCCTACTGAGGACGGACAGGATATCAATATTGAGATAGAAGAGTCTAAGTAGAATGTTGTGCCAATGGTACCAGGCCTTGGCCATTTAGAATAAACTAAGCTATTACCACAAAACTTTGCCTCGTGGAGTGTTTATGTATGTATTCATTCTGATTTGTCATCAGCTAACAAAATTTAGTGCTTCCTTTCACTTCTCTTCAGGGGGTTTCTCCTTAGTAGTCAGTAAGCAGGTCAGTGTGGCTTCTCAGTACCATTCAAACTCAGTTTGAGTCCTGTGCATCCTGTTCTTCCTCAGCAAGCTCTTGTTTTCTATTGAGGAGGCTTTAGTATGCTCCCAGTTTTGCATAAAATTACTTACCAAAGATCTTTCCCAACACAGAATCCTGGAGAAACCCACTTAATAACATCAAAACCATCCTGTCAAACAGTTATACCTGGTTTAGACAGTTTTTTGCCTGCTAAAGAGTTCTTATAAATCCTATCTTCTATGGTTTAACTTGTAGTTTCTATATACGCTGTTTTGCTGCAGCCTAGATAGATTACATCTACATCTACCATAGATGAGAAGCTCCACATGGGCCGGCAGTGCGCTCATGCAGCCCAGAAGGCCAACCCCATCCTGGGATGCACTAAGAGGAGTGTGGCCAGCAGGTTGAGAGAGGTGATTCTCCCCCTTTGCTCTGCTCTTGTGAGACCCCACCTCAAATACTGCATCCAGTTCTGGTGTCCCCACCTTAAGAGGGACATAGATCTGTTGGAACGAGTTCAGAGGAGGGCCCCAAAGATGATTCAGGGACTGAAGCACCTCTGCTACGAGGCCAGGCTGAGGGAGCTGGGATTGTACAGCCTGGGGAAGAGAAGACTCCAGGGCGTACCTTATAACTGCCTTCCAGTACCTGAAGGGAACCTACAGGAAGGCTGAAGAGGGGCTTTTTACAAGAGTGTCCAGCAACAGGACAAGGGGAAATGGATTTAAATTGAAGGAGAAGAGGTTTAGATTGGATCTTAGGAAGAAATTCTTCAGTACGAGGGGGAAAAGACTCTGTAATGGATTGCCCAGAGAGGCTGCAGATGCCCCCTCCCTGGAGCTGTTCGAGGCCAGTTTGGATGAGGCCTTGAGCAACCTGGTCTAGTTAAGGGCAACCCTGCCCATGACAGGGAGGTTGGGTTAGGTGATCTCTAAGGTCCCTTCCAACCTACGACATTCGATGGTTCTGTGACTTGAAACACACAATTGAAGTCTCATAAATGTGCTCTGTATGAGAACTTGCTTTCAGAATAAACTATA